TTTCTTAAGCTGGGACAAATTTGACTAGAGTAACACCACAAGTAAAATCACTAAATTCAGAGACACTTCGGGACAGAAAACTAAAAAAGTAAGTAGCGATAATACAGAAAAACACTGAATGAGTACGAGGTATGAGTAAGATGTAAGTATCTTTTTTTTAATGTATAAGATAAGATAAGATAATCACTGGGCAAAAGTGATATGACTAAAACTAAGTATGTAAAGCACATCTTTTGAGCTTTAGTGTGCTCAGTGCTTAGCACTGGTCCAATCTCTTTAGTGGACATGTGGGGGAGGGGGGGTAGATCACATCAAATCTCAATGAGTAGCAGTTGATCTTTGTATCAAATCTCAATGAGTAGTAGTTGATCTTTGTATCAAATCTCAGTGAGTAGTAGTTGACCTTTGTATCAAATCTCAGTGAGTAGCAGTTGATCTTTGTATCAAATCTCAGTGAGTAGCAGTTGATCTTTGTATCAAATCTCAATGAGTAGTAGTTGATCTTTGTATCAAATCTCAATGAGTAGCAGTTGATCTTTGTATCAAATCTCAATGAGCAGCAGTTGATCTTTGTATCAAATCTCAATGAGCAGCAGTTGATCTTTGTTATCAAATCTCAATGAGCAGCAGTTGATCTTTGTATCAAATCTCAGTTACTAACGCTATTTTTTTTATATCAGTGCTAGAGGGAAAGTCAAACGCGTCTTCCAAACTGAAGTCATTGTAAGCTACAAACGCTTAAAAAAAAGAGTACACACAAATGTTCATATGCCTTTTAGAAAAATATAGCTTAACAACACCGACTTTATTTTGTACACCGGATACACCATAAAGCTTGCTATTTATAGTTTTTGACGCCATGTAGGAGAATCTCTACTATCTAGCATTGGTAGAGACTAAGGAAATCTAATAGCTCACTGATGGACCTCAGTTTTGGGGCCATAAATTACCGACACACACACACGTTGTCACGCGTACAGTTTCACCCGACATTGAGGTGAAGATTAATAGCCCAGGAACTGAATCTAAAAGATCACATGAAAATCGCTTGAGAACTCAAAATCTGAGGGTTTATGGGTAGCGAAGTGAATAGGAGGTTAGACATCTTTGGTGCTGATACAGTGGACGCGTTTTTTGATATAAGGTTATGAAACTTTATATTCACTGATCTATATAAGGATCTTATATCTTACTTTTGGAGCGTTATCTGATATAAGGGGCTGAGTGTTTAAGCACTTGGTTTCCAAACCTGGGGTCAAGGGTGCGAATCTCGGTGAATATGGATTAGTTGTGGAGAGTAAAGGCGGTTGGTCGTTGTTCTGGCCACATGAAACCCAGCTCATTAACCGTTGGTCAAAGATACGCTTAGGTCACAAGGTCTTGGACTCTTGGTCTTATTGAATGCATCATAGTTTAGCCCGTTTAGCCACCACCACGCAAGGTAACACCTATTCTTTTAGCATAGACATGAACTAGAACACCGACATAAAGTAACGCCTCTTCGACTACATTATGTGCTATGGGCAGAAGCCCCAAGAAGCCGAATAGCACACACTCAGGAGTCGGGATAAAGCCCACGGGCCGTAGTTTGGGCGTCACTGTGAAACCAGCACGCGGTTGTCCTCAGACGATCTCAGTGTACCGACTCCCACGAATTTAAAAAAAAAAAAAAGAAAACGGGGGTGTGGGGGCGTTTAATTCTTGTCCCATTTTACATTACCGGAAACAACATGTGTTCTTTGTGTGTGTGTGTGTAAGTTGAAAAAGAAATGTGGTTCTTAGCAAAGCGATGTAGCATAAAAACTCAAGTAGGCTATTGCCGTAAAGGAGGCTAATGTCGTCAAGTCAGTTTATGTCGTAAAAGCAATGTAACGTGAACGACAACAGTACATCAACGTGACCTCCACTACAAACTTAGTAAACATACCAGCATTCAGCAAAGCGAGGTCATTAAAAAGGTTTATATTGGTCATTGACAACAGAACTAGCTCTACGGTCGTCTGGTACATGGTTCTACTTAGCACAAATTTGAGGTCCCTTTGGGCCTGGAGTCAAGAATACGAGGTTTGCACCCCCCACCCCTCCTCCCATCTTAAACGTAGGTGGAGTATTATTAAAAAAATAACGAAATCAAATCATCCTGCACACATCAGTTCATTTACGAAATAGCAAAATTATTTTTTTTTAAATACGTTTATATAAATAGAGCTTATCTTATAAAATACAGACGTTACTTCAAAACGATGATTACGTTCTACGCGTGTTCCTACGGCGCCTTCGATATATCACGGAGGTCACTGTTCCTAGGTCAATCTAGTCATGCATGTTAACCAGTGTCTTAAATTCTGCCAAGTCATTTGGTTTTCCTGCCTGGTTCAGGCAACCCATTCCATGCTCTAATATGCTCTAATGAAGAACTCCACATTTAAAACTAAACTTCTCAATAATGTAGGATTTATTTCCCCCTATCGATATCAAAGAAAACTATGACCACTAACTAATTACTTGGTTAATGGTATGATTGATTCATGTGTTGCTAGTAGCGATGGATTCAAGAATGGAAAGTGGGAAAAAAAAATGTCCTAGACCTTACAGTCTTTCCATTATACAATAAATAAAATACATTCGATAAATGTAGTACCTATATTGATGACAAATATGAACTTGTTTATTTTACTAGACGAACATGGATACACATATTTGTTTTCTTCACGTGGATAGACCTACCGTTGCTTTCATGTGCATTTAATAGGCTTACTTTACGCAAATTGCAAATACGATATGTAGTGTTTATTATTTAAACTTTTAGTACCTATTTTAAGCTTGGAATTTATGTTTTTTTTAAAGGGTGTCTGTGTATTTCGTTCACGACAATGAATATTCGGTTCTTGTTCCAAGCCAACAAAAAAATACCTTCCAACAAATCGTATGAATAATTGACTTGCTTAGGGCAAGCATAAATACCTCGTGTGAAATTACTTTACCGAATTTCACCGAACAGAGACTCGAGCTCGGCGACCTCTAGAGTTCAACTTTCGTTAAATACGGGCGATTCCACCACAACAGTGCTTCCCAAATTGTGTTTCGCGGAACCCTAGTGATCCACGAGGCATGACTGAGTGTTCCATGAACCACTGGAACAATAAACTAGTAGGCAATCACGTGAATAAATCTCTCAAAAAAAAAAAATTAGCAAAATGTTTGGCTAAATACTCAGATTGTGGGTAATGCTCCGTTGTGGAAAAAGGTTTGGACATCACTGCATTAGAACCATGCCAAATCTTCACGGTTCATGACAATGCAATATATCGTCTGCAACGTGACGCGTTGTTACTCCACAATCACAGCAAACCATAGCGAGCAGCAGCGTGGCCGGAATCAGGAGGGGTGCCAAAAGGAAAAAGGGGGTGGGTGTAGTTTTTCTCACCGGAGACCACCAGCGCAATTTCATAGCAGACGACGGATGCTCGTGACACCGGCACCTACGACTTGAGTTAACTGTGTCACAGACTAATCTTTGCTTGGACCAGGTCGTGAGCTTGTGAGAGCTTTGGGAAAGAGATGGCGATGTCGCTGATGTAAATAATAAATCCCCCCCCCTTTCTCATAGTTTCACGGGGCATAAGATACTTCTCATTTCCCTTCAAACAATGCTAAGAACTAATATAACATTGATAATGTCAAGAAATCACCGTAGTCTGTAGAGTGTAGGTGTTACTTGGGCAGCATAGTGTGAATGTGGAATGGTGCGAATGCGTGTTAAAAGGGGAAGATAGAGGAGGATTAGAAATGGAATAATGTAAACGAGGATTATTATTTGTTGATTCAAGATTAAAATCCTCATAATCAGGGCTGGCCCTAGGCCAATGCAACCTAGGCGGCCGCAATGGGCCCCGCACTTTCAAAGGCAGCGCTCTAATTCTATGTGTAAATGATTAAATTAAGCACATTATAACTTGTATATAATAACAGGGTTTCCTCGGCCTCCTGATTTTCTAGGATCTAATCGAAATTTCCTGAAATTGTAAAATATACACACACAAAATTCCTAGAAATCTGAAATTATTACAATTTCCTGAAAATTCATAAAAATGTTCTGAAAAATAGACAAAATTGTCATTTTGAGGTGTCAATACTATATGCAATTTTTAACAAATCGTCTTTGTCAGATTTCATTTAATGTAAATGAATTGCAAAGACGAATGTATTTTCTAATACAAAATCTTAATTTCGACGTTATGCTTATCCCTACCCAGACTAGGCCCCGCGAAATAAGTATCGCATAGGGCCCCGCAATTTGTATGAGTTTTCAGGAGATTTTAATCATTTCAGAAAATTTCGAGGAATTAAAAAATATATATATATACATATTGCAATTAAAAGGAGATTTTCATGAGACCCTAGAAAATCAGGAGGCCGCGGAAACCCTGTTATTATATAATAATTTACACCTAGAATTAGCGCGGGGCCTATGAATGTGCGGGGCCCACTGCGACCGCATAGTATCCTAAATCCGACCTTGTCTATATATATATATATATATATATAGATGTAGCTATCTGGATTTATCATTTAGATTGTGTTACAAAGCAAAAGACTAGAACATATTTAAGAAACCAAAACATTATATAGATCTAGATTCTAGATCTAGGACTGTCTTGAATCTAGATCTATAGAATCTATAGTATACTATAGATATACATGACATGTATGGCTGCCTGGTCATGTGGTTTGCGCGCTGGACTGTCGTTCAGATTTATCGATGGTCCAGGGTTCAAACCCTGCCCGCCCCCATCGTCCTGCGGGAGGTTTGGACTAGGAAGTAATTATCGTCAACTCTGAAGGAACATCCGAAACAAGTAAAAAATTTTACAAACATTTTTTTATAACAAACATGTAACAAAGACTATAGATCTAGACTAGACTCTATCTATATAGAATACAGATCTAGACTAGACTAGACGTGGATTTAGATTAGATTTTATATATAATAATATACTCACCTTGTAAATTGAAATCCACACTTTCAACTTCAGGTAGAAAACAAGTCTAGACTAGAGACCTAAATCTAGACCTAGATATCATATAGATATAGATTAAACTAGTCTATACTATATAGGCAGGTTACTTTTCTAGATGATCTTGATCTACTCCTAGACTCTGATCTGTGGTTCTAGATCTATGAGATCATCCAAATCCAATGTCTCCAGATTTCCAGTCGAAACACTTGTGCATTAACCTATTTAACTTAGCAATATTTCGTCATCACTGGCACACAGGTAAACAGAACTAGAGGCCTGGAAAATAGGTTCATACCATTTAGTCCCTCGTATTGGTCCCCCACCTCGTGTCACAGCGCTGTAAGTCATTATGTTGTCTGCTAGCACTGGGGGTTGACCCCAATCTCCCCCCCCCTTGCTTGACATATTAGCTAAGTTTGGATTGGTTAGCCCCATGTTGCAATTTTTTTTGTTCAATGAACCTATGAAATATCAATGTGTCATTTATTATCTTTATTAAAGCTATTAATTATTAAATTAAAAATGGAAATATTACACATTTCAACCATTTTTATTTATTCATGTATAAAAAAAATTTGTATCTAGATAAAGTATCTATTTGTTTTTAAATATTTTTTACACGGGTATTATATTACAAAACGGGCTTCCGTACAATTTCCACGCCCGACGACTTGGTTTGTGCGTAACGCGGTTAGTTTTCCTGATCTAGTGAATGAAATTACCAGAGAATCGTAGTAATCGTTGCAGTAAGGTCATTGGACACTTGTTCTCGCGCCAAAAAGAGTCGAAGAGAGGAAGGTGAATGAATTTTTTTTTTTTTTAGGAAAGGGACGCAACTAAATTATGTGTGTTATTGAAATGAATGCTACAGCAGTGGTCTCACTTGAATCTATTTACAATAATTTTAGTATTACGTAGGCCTACTCGATCACATCGGTAGTGTACTATAATATCCAAACAGTATATGCCTATAGAATCTAACATAAAGTTTTTAGTCAATTTAGTGCAGACTTTCCCAAAGTGCGGTACACGTACCCTCAGGGGTACGGGAGGATATTGTGTTGAACCTCATTAAATATGCCATTTATTATTCAGTTTGTAAATTGAAAAAAAAAAATCATTAATTATTTTTAATTCAGATTTTTCAATGTTATTTTTTTAATAAATAGTCTAATTTAACATCTAATTACTTTATTTTATTTTATAGATCAGATAATGAATAAAAATGTTTCTCTATATGTAATTTTAAAAAATTTTAAAAAGTATTTGTGTAGTTACATCAACATCTTATTCACACCACAACAAATGACAGCAAAACAAAGTGTCGAAGACTTCTGAAGGCTCAGTCATCGAAATTTGAATGTTCCACAATATATGCTTCGCGGGAGCCTAAAGTTTTGTCTTGATTAATATTGTAGAGCGGATACTGTGAAGTCTAACTGCTAGGAAAATTGGTTGCATTAACATTGTTATACTTAACAACATCAAGGACAATAAACAGTGCGTCAAAGACTTACGAGGTCTCTGTCGTTCTGACTGAATGTCTGTAATTTCCACTTCACTGGTTCGGGGACAAAGACAGTTCTTTGCCTTTTTTTTTTTTTATAGTTCATGATCATTTACATTGTTTATTGTAATCTACCCGCTTCAGCACATCAATTATAAACTCATCATCGCTAATATAGAAGCATCTATAATTTAAAAAAAAAACAGAAATGGAAAAGTGGTTTGAGTGCTGGGACAGTTCCCAAAAAGCCTGTGGAGTCTGGGAGCGCATGAGGCGCCCTGACCGCACTTCCCCGTGGTGGAGGCTCTCCAGGCCTGAGAAAGTTATTATAGCACAGTGCAGGACAGGCCATTGTCCTGTTGGCTCATATTTCTCACGGCTGTGGCCAAATTTCGATTCACGGTGCCCCCGCTGCGGGGAGGAAGAGGAAACCGTGCCCCATATTCTGTTTGACTGCCCCAGACTTGCTGATATCCGTCTCGACAGGTCTGGGAAACCAAAAATTCTCGACCTGTATGGCGACATTTATGAACTAAACAAGACAGCAGGGTTTCTATCCAGGGCTTTTGCAAGAGAGGATTTGAGCCTCTCAAGCCTTTACTCAAATGGAGTTTGATGATGATGATGATGGTGATGGTGATGATGATGATGATGATGATGACGATGGTGGTGGTGATGGTGATGATGATGGTGAATGTAGGAGCATAAGCGAGTAGTCAGAACGTTAATGTTCATCGCAAGAAACCAGTACCTCAGATTTCTGAACAAAACTGTTCATAGTTTATGGTTTATAGTTGTACTTAAAATCATTTGATTACTTCCAAAGCCAAAAGTTCTGCAACACACGCTGGGCTAATCAACAATGTTCCTGGACATCACGTTTCAGAACTCCACAAGTGGACAGACCGGTACGGTTTCTTGATGTTAACTTATCGTCAACCCAAGACAGGTCAAAACAGCATTGCAGTGAGCTCATAAGGAGTTTAGAGGACTATATATCATCTAAGATTGATTATTCTTTACAAATTGTCTGGACTGTGGCGATAATTGTTTTAAAAATTGTATCTGTATATGTCCAATGTACTTCAGCCCTCTCCCCTTTCCACATAAAATGCTCACCAATACTAGAGAGTGGCGACCCTGACCTTTTTATACCACATACATGTAGATGAATCGCACGAGTAAAAAATGACTTCACTTGGCCAAGTTAAACAAAACAAGAACTCTCTAAAGACATTTTTATTGCTACATCAAATAACTATAAATGTTACAATCTAGTTTACTATAACCGGGCATAATTTAATGCTTTGTTTGTTACCATACAGCATATTATAAGGGGGTATAATTTAATGCTATGTTTTGTTTTGTTACAATCTAGTTTTGCAATAACCCAGCATAATTTAATGCTATGATTCCTATATTTAATTGGTTCTACCAAAAAATGTTATCGATATAGATAAACATTTTTATTCACTATCTTTTTTCAGTAAAATAAAATTAAGTAATTAGATGTTAAATAATGCCATTTATAAAAAAAAATAACATTAAAGAATCTGAATTAATTTTTTTTTTATTTACTACTGAACAATAAATAGGTCAAACCCATCATATTTAATGAGGCGCAACGCGTACGCCTTACAATATCCTCCCGTACCCCCGGAGGTAGGCCTACGCGTACCCCTCTTTGGAAAACACTGCACTACGCTAATAGAAGTAGAAAAGGAAACTTAAGACTTATAAAAATGAGGACTAGGACCTAAAAGGAGGACCAAAATATATTGTACTCCATGGACATTTTGTGTGGACATCCATGGACATTTCGAGTGGACATCCATGGATATTTCGTGTGGACCTCCATGGACATTTCCTTCAGATTGAACTTCAGTGAGAGAACAAAAATTCACTAGAGTTAAATGGAGAGTTATTTCTTTTACAAGTCAGCTGTTCTATTTCTTTTACAAGTTTCTTTTACAAGTCAGCTGTTTCTTTTACAAGTCCGCTGTTCTATTTCTTTTACAAGTCCGCTGTTCTATTTCTTTTACAAATCCTCTATTTCTTTTACAAGTCCGTTGTTCTATTTCTTTTACAAGTCCGCTGTTCTATTTCTTTCTGTTTCTTGCAGAGTCTTCGTCTTGTTCAGAGTCTACAACTGTGTCTTTCAGATTCATCGTCTTTTTCACTGTCTGCAACTGTCTCTTTCAGAGTCTCCTTCTCTTTCAGAGTCTACAACTGTCTCTTTTAGATTCATCGTCTTTTTCACTGTCTGCAACTGTCTCTTTCAGAGTCTCCTTCTCTTTCAGAGTCTACAACTGTCTCTTTCAGATTCATCGTCTTTTTCACTGTCTGCAACTGTCTCTTTCAGAGTCTCCTTCTCTTTCAGAGTCTACAACTGTCTCTTTCAGATTCATCGTCTTTTTCACTGTCTGCAACTGTCTCTTTCAGAGTCTCCTTCTCTTTCAGAGTCTACAACTGTCTCTTTCAGAGTCTACAACTATTTTTTTTTCAAGTCTTCGTTTCCTTTAGAGTTTACAACTGTCTCTTTCAGTGTCTCCAACTGTCTCTTTCAGAGTCTCCAACTGTCTCTTTCAGAGTCTCCAACTGTCTCTTTTTGAGTCTCTCTCTTTCAGTTGTCCTTTGCTACCTGCTACCTTCCTCTATGTCAGTGAGGGTAAACTAGTTCCTGAGTAGGCCGAGTTGATCCTGATAGCGCCTCCGGGGAGCAATCCTCGTTTGAGTTCACCAAAGAACAGCTTGGCATTGCGGTAGTCTCCTATGCGGAATAAGTGTTCAACAAAGCTCAGCTATCAAATGGTGAGTAGTGATTCTATACTATTCAATTTACCTTCTACCAGAACTTGGTTATATGTAAGTTAGTCTTGCCAGCGTAGGCAGCGTAATCCCATTATGATGTGAAGTATTGCGAAGGCATCTTTGACGGAAGAGTTCCTTGAACCTTAGATACTTTCTATAGAGCACGCCAAGATGACCTATATTTGTTTTAAATTCTTAAAGTAATTGTTCATAAATGCGAAGATTTAATTTTCTAGAATTTAGCCACATATAAAAACCAGTTCCTTGGCAGCTTACAATTCCACAACACACAATTATGCCAATGCTAAAAGAGTTATCGACTTTTTCAGTGTAAAATGAAAAGCAAACTTTAAAAAGGACGAGGGGGAGAGATGAATTATCGATGACGTGTTATTTAATACAGAGCTTTGATACTGACCTCAAAGTAAACAAAGAACTTCTTAGTCCTCTTTCATTATTAATACAGTTATTCTTTATTCTCTTTCTTACGACAATGTTGGGCGAAAAAAAAAAGTGGTTGAAAAAAAAAGTCGCAACACCGGTTTGTTGGCTATTGTGTCAGCATCGTTCTTTCTGTGGGTAGATATTTGAGAGACGTGAGTCTAGCGGCAGAGTTGATTATCATAACAATAGGTAATTGCTCAACAATAAACAACACACGCTCTGGGCTAGGGTTACCTAGGAACGGCATGTATATTGATTAGGTAGCTTGCTGAGTTCAACGGAAGACTTGTATTTACAAGGAATGTATAGGCGTGTATCCTAATGATTATGAAGGTAGGTTCAGTCATTACAAATTAGGATGAGATTTATGAATGCAGGTAATGTTAATATGAAAAAAAAATTGAAACAAACCAATGAAATGCATGAAAATAATTCACACACTTCACACTTCGATTGATGAAATATAACAATATGAAGCCTTCTCTTCTGTCACGTAATTTTGGAATGTTGATGTATCACACATGTTTTGTTTGTTTGTAAAATGTTTTACACGTTTCGGATGTTCCTTCAGAGTTGAAGATAGTTTACTTCCTAGTCAAAACTTCCCGCAGGACGA